ACATTACAAACTCAGCAAGATAGCATTGTAATCTCACTGTTGTTGTTGAACATTTTTACTGACCTAATCGACAAGATATGTGTAATCAAACTTATACGCAACGAATTGTATTAATAGTTACTTAATAACACAAAAATTGTGCATGTTTCTCTTAACCCCAATGTAACCTATAAATGTGAAACGCTGGAGGATTGCCTTTGGGGTACCTCACAAGCGACTGTTACTTATCTATGCACTACAAAAATAAAGAATTATAAAAAAAAAATAAAAATGCACAGACAGCAAAATAAGTGCTGCTGTGCACGAGCCTGTGATCTGTATAGTGATCACTGGCAGGACAGGGGTTAATCGTTCTGAAAAGAGCCTTTGGGTCTCAAAAAAAAAAAAAGATCACAAAAAAATGAACCCCTAAAAAAAATGCACAAACAGCAAAAAAGTGCTGCTGTGCAAGAGCCAGTGATTATAGTGATCACTGGCAAGACAGGGGTTAATGGCTCTGAAAAGAGCCTTTGGGTCTCTAGATTTTACAAATCCCTACCTATAAATACCTAAATCTCTCTAGCTAAACCACAGATCTATCTCCCTCTAACAAGAGAGGGAGACAAGAGAGGGAGGCAGATCCACACTAATCAGAGAAATGGGGAACACACTTGGGATGAAATTGCTAATGGGGCAAGCTGTGATTGGATGACCCCAGCCTGCCCCTTATGATGCGGCATGCTAGGGACACCCCCAGAAGCCCCATCATTCACTGCCTTTAGAAAGGGAGGGGGGTTAATATTGATCATTCTATTTATTTTATATTTATTTTATATATATTATTATATATGCACTGAGTGCCAGGACCCCTTGAGGCACTCAGCACATGCAGAGCATCACTGCAATACTATCAGAGCTTCCAGAGCTCAAAATAGCTGCAGACGTACCAGGTACGTCCAAGGTCATTATGGACCGTTTTCTGCCAGACGTACCTGATACGTCCGCGGTCGGGAAGGGTTTAAACAAGTAATTAACCTTCTTGCTGTAGTTGCAGATATATTCTGCTTCGCGCATGTGCATTATGTGTCCTAATAACAAGAGCACCATCTTGATTATTGGATTTGCCCTCAATAACCGAGACGCAAGTAACTCACACGTATGCGCAAATCATCCGATCTCGCTGGGAACATAACGCCACTGCCACAGCACTCCAAACTTGAGTAGTAGGAATTTCCACAGTGCAGGAGACCGCTACATAACAAACATGCGCATACTGCATAATTAAAACTCAAGGATAATCACCTTTATAGTAATCCATATTAAATCATAGAAACCATCACCAGTAAGAAATAATAAACATTAACCACCAATACAAGAACACCACCATACAGTGCATATACAATTCATTTATGAATACATCCATAGTGCAACATAGAATATAAAGACATGAATGATGCAGGTATATGGTGGTTTGTGTTCCTGACCCTATAATGTCTCTTTACCTTTTTACTGCAATGTATAACGATTGCACAGAGCAAGTGCTCCTTTTTCAATTCAGAACAAAATCTTATAAAATAAACAGCACTTCTTTTCCACTCTACAATTGTGATATCAAGTATAACTGTAAAGCTTACACTGGAAGAACATGTAAAAAAAAATAAAAAAATTTGAATAGTATTTTAAATTACTGCTGCATATATTTTTACATGGTAAATGACAATAAAGTTGAATCTGAATCCGGATCTGAATCTGAAGTTTGGAATCTAAATGGTGGTTTTAACACTATAGGGCAGAATCAAATTTCTCTGCTGGGTTTTCAACCAGTTCCTCTGCCACAGGCAGAGGAAGTGTAAATAATGTGTCCTCCAGCATGATACATGAGCTAATGCATGTCTTTAGCATGTTATTTAGTTTTTTTATTGGTCCAAGCCACACAGATAACATTGTATACAAGCTGACTGATGGTGATAGGAATTTATCTGATAAAATGCCTGACTATGTAATCATGATAATCTATTTTACAGCAACCATGAGAGTGTGTGTTAATGGTGTCCCCAAGCACATGAACATGAGGCACACATAGTCTTCCAAAAACATGGTCATTTTCTTAACAATATTGGTTGTCAGGGTTGGCTCAGCAAAGTGAGATCTAACATAGATAAAGACAGAGGGATAGAAGAGGCATATTACCGGATCTTAGAGTAGCTGGGCTTAACTAAGTTGGAACTATGAAATAAGAGGCTAGAGAGGCCAAAAAACGCATTACGGACTGGAACAGGTTGATAAACAATCTGGGTCTGCTACTCGAACAGGGTAGTTATACAACCCGGGTCTGACTAACAAATAAAAGAGCGCAGGAATATTCAAAGGATAAAGGATGCCAAAAACAATGAAACAATATCAGGACAAAAATAATTTCTTGCTGGCAGCAATTAAGTCAGAAAGGTAATCTGTGATATTCACATTTAACACACAAAAAAAGGGAATCAATAAATCAAGAGGTCAAGAAATAAAATAGAATCATGCCAGGATATCAGGTTACACAGTGGCACAGTAAGTAGTGGTCAACATTATCACCTGGAAACCAGGGTTTTAAGTCCCATCAAAGGTAGGTTTCCTGATGCAGGTGTCGTTACTATCATGATAATTCACTAAAGTTTAAATGGTCACATACTAATTGGGCTAAAACCATCCTTCTGCATATTGTGCTATGCGGAGTGCAATTTAACTATATCCAGGTAACTATGTCGAAATTGGTAATAATTGGCAAGGGTGCCGGCTGGCTGCCTCCACATTATTAAATAAATTAAAATCATGTGAGCATCAATAAAACCATCATTTTATCATAAAGAAGGTTTTAAGCCTCCATAAGCCCCACCTGCCATGCTTACTAGCCAACCAATCAGAACACTTATATTGCAGATTGTGGGTAATTGTATCATGCTTTGAAATAGCTGGCGTAGCATGGAAAAGCCTATGTAAGGGCTTTCCACGCAACCAGAGGTCAGTCTGCCGCAAGCCCTCCATAGGTGTATACGGATTAATTTTATTGCAATATGTTTTTTTTGTTTTTTTAATATATAATATGGGGATCTTATTGACTCCCCCATTTTTATTTTTTAATTGTATTGTATTGTGTAATTGTATTGTATTATTTTTTTACTATTTAATGTCGTGGCTGGCTAACAATCCATGACCTGCTACCATATAATTAACCCTTGCACTGCCTAGGTGTTTTTTTGTTTTTTTTTAAACTACTTACCCGCTGACTGCAAGCACAAATGAATGTAACACATCTTCAGAGTTGGTCAAGGCTGTGGATTTTTTTTTTATTAGGTTCCTGGTATAAATATTTGTTTATCATCTGTTACATGTTCTCTTTTTAATGATAAATAACAATATAATAAGCAAAAGATATGTGGTTGGTTTATCCAAATGAAACTTAAGGTATATGTGTTTGTTTGCTTTTTGCCTTATATAACATGAAGCCCTGTAATGCAGTATGGGGCATACGCATAGTTTGGACTAGTTGAAAGAACAGTATGTATGGGATTATGCAATAATATGAAAATTACTGCCAGTATGTCTGTTAGAATGTATATAATCCTCTGTGTCGACCTTCCTAAGATGGCAGAGCACCTATTGGAACGCTTTTCTTCCTTTCTGTACGTTAGATGCCCCCCCCCATGTATAGTGTTTTAGAAAGTTACAGGGTCAAATAAGGGACTTGCCTATTTCAGTTTTTACACATTGAAATTAGCCAGATTGATTTGCTGGGCCTATGTTGCATGTGACATCGTATGGCAGCCCAGGAATGAATATTACACCCATCATGGCATACCAATTGCAAAAGTAGACAACTCACGGAATTTAAAATAGGGTATGTCTAATCTTTTTGGTAGCCACTTAGTCCCAAACCCTTGCCAAATATAGTATTCATATACATTTTTTGCATTTTTCACACAAAAACTGCACTTTCACTGAAGATATCATTGTCATTATAAATTATACGGTTTTAAAACTCTCATATTTGTGTTCAGAGAAATTTTCCAAGTTTTATGGGATTTTGAAATGTTACAGGGTCAAATAAAGGGCTTGCAAATTAATTTCTCTGGACTTTTTTCCTGTGTTGTCAGTCAGGTCCCTCAAAGTTTAATTAATAAAATCACTTAATTATGTTAAAAATAGATAAATAAATATACATTTATAATAATAATAGGTACGTGAGTTATATGGCTTGCAGTCCCATGATTGCAGGCAAGGCATTCAGTCATCCCTGTAGGCATATAAATCATTCAATCATCCCTGGTCAGGGAATGTCTACCAGATTAAACACCGGATTAACTGTACTATAACTATATGTAGTATATAGAATTATTTGTCCCTAAGGACTTATAGTAGGAAGACCTCTACTGATCTGAGGGAAAGGATGAGAAGATATCGGTCCTCCCTCCAGACGGGTTTATCAATTATACCTGTAGCACAACACTTCATGGAATAGAATCATCCGGTTTCATCATTAAGATTTGCAGGCATCGATCATGTGCCTCCACTTCCCTGAGATGGGAATCGAGACTTAGATTACTAAAACATGAGGCATTTTGGATGTACACATTAGGCACCTTGGTGCCAGGTGGCCTTAATGAAAATAACCAGGGGTCAAGTCCTGGGGAAAAAAGTGTGGGAACTCACCCAAGATTCCCGCCGCCT